CATTGCAAATCCAAGATGAGGTAGATACATACATGTATCTGCGCAATCAAAAGACACAGATATATTCAACACATGCAATATTATATATATATGTATAGACATAGCTGGAAAAACACACAAAAACATCTGTCCGTACACTACAGGTTGGGCATGTTTTTCGTCCGTTACGCTATTTCTTCCAAATACGGCCATGTCCGTTACGTTTCTCTTACAATCAAAAACCCAATATCCCAAATACGTAATTGAGCCAAAAAAAATGTTGTTACAGTGTTACAGGTAAAACCAATAATGGACAAACAAATTGTCCGTGGTTCCTAGGTAAATTATATGTCATAGCTGAGCTTAATAATTCGTCTGATTCCCATGCAAACCAACAGAGATCCATGTTTGCATTCTGAACAAGCTCACAACAAGTGACGCTTGACGCTACCATGCAACGTTCGAGAAAAATGCTGACCATAATTACATGCAACGTGCAGTCGCTTTGACGGTTCGTCGGAGTTGAAGCAAAAGGACAGAATCGAACAAAGGCTTTGATCCAAGCTTGTAGCCAGAAACGTAGACAGAAGTCACGATATTTTGGCACGTTTAGCCACCTTTCATGTTGCAAATTCTCTATCTGTTGACATTCCAAATGAAGCACAAATTGCAGTAATGTGAACCCCCAGTCGTCATAACCCCCTGGGACATTCTATTGGATTTCTATTGGGAGGGTACTATTTTGCTAGTGGATGATCACTACTGGCTTCGCAAAGGATGTCGAAGAGGTTGCCTTTTGGATCCTATATTGGGGATAGGCTTTACCATTCATAAAATAAAAATGGTGATGACTTGCGGATGGTTCCTTTTTTGGGTTTACCGTCACATTAGTCAGATTTCAGTTCTTTTTCGGATTGTATGGCCTTGAGAGGTTTTTATGGCAGCTATTTTGAGCTATTGTCCTGCTCACGAGGAGTAAAGCGACAGTGAACCGACTCTGGGTTCCACCGACACAACCGAACTCTTCCACGTGCCTGAAGAATCTGTGGCTGGAGATAAGAACGTGAAAAGCATGACTAGGCCCTGCCGTGGATTGTGCGTAGCATGGCCCAACTGGCCAATTCTGTATAAATACCGACATCGGCAAAAATTCTGCATATCAATCTATACTCCAAACTATCTCGGTGTGGACACACACACATACATATATGTATATATACATACATGCATATGTGTATTGCACTAGGTATATATATATGTTAATAGTATATATATATATATTATAATATAAGTATAAGATGTATTTTAGGGTATTGTACACTCACAAACATGAGTGTTGACCACACATAGAAATTTTCACTATCCTGTTTTTTGGGATCCGTTGCGGGGTGTCCCATGCCAAGATTCTTCCGGCTGGCAGAAGAGCACTATTATCAACACGGGGAAGTTGCCATCGCGCGCCGCAGTGCCCCTGACACCTTGTTTCAACGCCAAAAGCTCTGCTTGGCCGCAGCCGAGCAGTGGGCTATCCAGGAGGCGGATGATACCCATTGCTGCAGTAGCTTTTTGCAAAGCGTTTTGAGATCTCCAAGTTCTGCATGAATCATTAAACAAATTCCAATGGTATCACTTCGTATGAAATATTGCGTCAAATTGCCACATCCAGATGGCGTGCAAACTCCAGTCAGTCCCGTGAACGATACAACAAGATGGAACAAGATGCAACAAATTGAGATAATCAACATCATTTTTGTGTCACTTTCTGTCGTCGAAAATGCTTCAGATATCTTGAGATAAATCATATCACTGATTTAGATAGATATATTACCCAATACCCCCCTCAAAGAGATAGAAACGTTATTAAGTCATTTACGGCTATTATTGTTGCACGGCACTTTTCTGTATTTTATGAGTTTCTACATATTTTTTGCTATAAAGTCAAACAGAACTCTCAATTTCGGCAGATTTCGCCTTACTGAATGGGGATAAAATATTCATAGCCACATTTTTTTTTCCATTTCGGCATGCCGTGATCTAAGATGGACCCCATCATGGCATCCTGGGCATCATGGCCCAGAGGGGCAACATGATATGTGGATCATGGCATCATGGCATCTGTAAACCCGTTGGAATCATGGCCCATCCCGAAAAAGATGATTTTTGGTAGGGACTTAATGGGATTTCCATGGTTAATAATGGTTAATGATGGTTAATAATAATATGATTCTGGTTCAATATATGCTAACCGTTGAGATTATCCCATGAATGGTTATTTTGGTCATCTACCATCCATGATATACCATGACTGGTTGGTGGTTTCAACCAACCCATCTGAAAAATGATGGAGTGAGTGAAAGTCAGTTGGGATGATTTTCCATTCCCAATATGATGGGAAAGTCATAAAATTCATGTTCCAAACCACCAACCAGATATCTCATTAACCATTATTAACCACCAGTATCCACCATTAACCACCAACCAGATGATATACCTCTGGGATTATGTTGAGGGATTATGTGAAATGACCACATGATGCTGGGATGAATGTGATGGTGACGACATGAACATAAAATGAACCTTGCTTTAGGTACATATATACCACACATTTACACATCTTTTACATGGCATTTTCCCACATTTTCCTATATTTTCCCATATTTTACCATATTTTCCCACATTTTCCTATATTTTCCCATATTTTCCCTTTACTAGGCCATGTCTTCTGAATTTCCCCCTGGCACTTGGTCCATCTCGGAGGCACAGAGGCACCACGCCGCGCGGCCACGCGGTCGACATTTTTGGGATCTGACAGACTGACAGAAGTCCAAATTGGCAACATGTGGAACCATTATTCATAGAATTGGATGACGGGAAAATTTACAGGAAACCCCTATATTTGATGGTAAAAACCATGGTTTCCTGTAGATTTTCCCTTAAACCAATCCATTGGATTATGGAATTGATCACATGTTAGTAGTGGTTGATCACTATTTTTGTACATGATATCTAATGATGGTACTACTACTATTATGAATGGTCCAAATTGGTCAACTATTATTGTGGATCTACTATATCATGTAGTAGTACCAACTATAGTTATAGTAGATCAACATGGAATAATAATGGTGATAACAATTATGCCCAACTATACTTGGAATGATTATCAATCAGTAATTCTCAATCAAATTCTGGATCATTATCAATTGAATATGATATAATTGAAGATAATTGATCTACTATAATTGGAATGATAATGGTTCTACTATAGATAATAGAATTATAGACTATCATAATTATAATTCCAATTATCAATTATCAATTATAGTAGAACCATTATCTATTGATAATTGATGGTTCCACAAAATGATAAATGATAATGGTTCTGCTTTAATTGATAATGAGAATTGGAATTCTGATGCCACAATTCTCAATCAATAATTGATCTACTACAATTGGAATGATTATCAATCAGTAATTCTCAATCAAATTGTCAATCATATTCATTTTTTGGATCATTATCAATTGAATATGATATAATTGAAGATCATTGATCTACTATAATTAGAATTCTGATTGGATCCTGAATTGAAGCTAAAGGATCTAATATCATAATTATATAATATGTAAATAATAATCAAATGGCACCAAATCTTATCACCAATATAATTGAAACTATTATATAGATATAATCATATTGGTGATTGTTGATTATTGCACAAAGTATATTACAGAACATCTGGGCATAAATTCTTGATACCATTTATTATATATCATATATATCACAATATATAATAAGTATATATAAGGTATACATAAGTTATGATGTGCCATTTGGGACAATTCTGTAATAAAATAACGGTTCAAATGTGTTCTAAATTCAAATTTACCAGGTGGTTAAACACTTTGTACTGCACCATTCGTCATTTTCAGGACCATCTCCCTAAGTTTACCTTTCATGGTGACGTCGGTAAATGTTAAGGGGAAAATGTCTTGAGAGATCTTGATTTCTAAACTATCCCCTGATTCGAATGGTCTATGAGTTGTTAAACAGTTCCACGCAGTAAACATGCCGCTCTGGAAAGCCGCTGGAAATGTCGACCCCGAAAAAAACCAGCGCCACTCTGGTGAGTTGGCAGTTTTTTGTGCGATGCTGCAACAGGCGGCAACCCTGTTGCGGCTGTTCGCTACTTGGAGTATCGTCACATAAATCGTCATGATGTGTGTCTGAAAATGGTGGCAAGTTCTGGCTATAGTTTAATGTAAACCATTATTGATGCCAATTTTCTGAAGCCATTGGAATCCTTCCACTTTGGAGGCGAGCCAGTTAATTGTTTCAAGCCCATAAATCCGATTGCCAGTTTCCAGTATCATCCCAAAATCTCTCAAACAAATTTGGTTTCCAAATGGGGAGTATCAGCTTTTCCAGTAATGTGGTTAAAACTTTATAACAAACCATCCCCCTCAAAATCACCATTTTTTTAAGGTGGGATTCCAACCATCAAAAATGGGGTGGTAAACATGGCATTTTTTAAACCACATTATCAGCTTTTCCAGTATCGGGGGTTGGTAAATGTCCCAAGTGAACATCACCCAAATATTGGGGATATAATCTTCAACAAATATTTGAAAGTGATGTTCAAAATTCCCAAAATGGGACATTTACCAAGCCCTGAGTATCATTAGACAAAACATGACAAAACGAAACCCCCAAGCAGCGAATCCGATGTCCTGGAGCCACTGATGGGATGGCGATGGCGATGGCAATGACGTGAGAGGTTGGCGTCAGAAAAAAAGAGCGACCGGAATCCAAACATTGGAAGACATTGGAACCCAATTTTATTCATTCTCATCCATTTTCATCAATTTTCCGAAACCCTAAATCCGATATGATATATCACCAATTGTTCCCCAATTTTTTCCCGAAAAAATGGCAACTCTTTTTGGGCTTTCACGATGGTTCTCGATGGTGACGGTGATTCTCTTCCCAGCCACCGATCACCACCCCATGAAAGGGACGGGGTTTAGGGTCGGGCACCGGCGGGAGACCTAGCGAGCTGGGGATGGAAGTCAGAGCCCCTGAAAGTCGCGTTGGGAAGCGGTCAGTGTCGAGGTCGCTTTTTATGTCACTTAATGTGGGTAAAACCATGCCATGTTTACCAACCATGACTGGGAATGGATGAAAAACCACCTATAAAAATGGTGATGACTGGGGGATTGTTTTTTTTAATGAAACAGAAAAAACATGGACTATGGCACTAAAAAATTGGTGATTTTGTGGGATGAAACATGATAATCATGGGGATTCACCAATTATTTGGATCTTCTGATTAACTAGTAAGGCCTATAGGGTTTCTCAACATTTTCAGACAACCCCATTGAACACCAGAGTCCCATAGATACTGCCCCATGGCTTTTGGGACACCGAATCATGAAAATCAAGTGTGTGGATAGTATAATTCAACACTATCATCATCATCATCATCATCATCATCATCATCATGTTTTCTAGTCTTGGCATTTTTGGTATATTGTTTGATATTTGTTGATACTTCAACCTTTATATTTTCATATATGAAACCAACTTAGAGTATGTCACAGTACCTGTTGAGAGGCACAACACGTTCTTGTGAGGTGTGGAGCCAATTTGGGCCATAAAGCAAAGATATGTCACCTGATATCACCTGCCAAGGAATGCTGTGTCGAGTTCTTCAAACTCCGCACGCCGCCTTCCCCGCCAACTTCCATCTCTGATCGGGCATTAAATGCGCCATTTCGACTCATTCCCAGTGCCATGCCCAAACCGCGCGGTTTTAATCGTCCACCAGACGTCGACCGACCCGAACTGCACGGTGCGCACAATGGACGCGCGGAGATACGCGCGGAGTGCCGTGCAACGGAACGGGGCAAGTCGACACGTCTCGCGACGTCAGCGAGATGGATCCTAAACAGATCCAAGTGCTCGATGTGCTGCCGGAACCGCGGAGGAATGCCAGGTTCCTCCGGTGAACGGCCGCAAGCGCCGCCTTCAAAAGTACTGTACGACCTGCCAAACGGCCTGCCAAACGGCAGCCTGTTCTTGGTCTCAAAGCGAAGAGCTCTTCATCTGCAAAGCCCATCAAAGCCAAGATTCCACAACGATATACTCAGATAGTATCAAATAGTCTTGTTTTGAAGATATGTCCATCCCGTCATGTTTCCAAAACAAGACTTTTATATACTTTTCTGACATTGCATGAACTTGATCTTTATTGGCTGTCCTAGTTATCTTCAGTTTTTATTCATCTTTGCCCCTCCTGGCTGTTTGCGGTGACCTTTTTGCGAGGTCCATGCAATTGAGGTCATGCGGCAAACCATACATCCTCGATATTGTTGTGTATTTACTTATATTTATCCGAGAAAGAGCCCAGATGTAGGTAAATATACCATTGCCAATCTTAGATACTCGGCAACAAGTATATTTTTTTAGCTGGTTAGTATGTATCCCCATTTGTGGCAAAAGATTAAACTACTAAAGCATCCAAGGGGTATTGTAAGCCCAAACACTGGGTAGGGGGCAGTTCACACTGGTACCCGGGTGCCCAAATAGCTTGGATTCACGGATGTTCATTCCTCCCAAATATGCAATGTCATAGGGTTCCCCATTTCAACAACATCTCACAGAACTCAAGTTGGACACGTGGGCTTTGCAGTAGTGGTTCCAGTCTGTGCAAGCATCTTCGCAGCCACATGAGCCAAGTCAGCTTTCGAGATTGCTGGGTTTGCTGGTCCAACAGTTGACACATTGGTGGGCATAGTGGCCACTTTTGGGGAGGTCCCAGGTAACGTTTTGAAATGGCTTTGCCACATGGAAATGGGCAATCGAAGTTGATAGCATCATAGCAGTTGCAACCATCAAAACTATGAAGAACGAGAGGCTACATGAGGCTACCATGTACCCAGCAATCTCAGGTCAGATGCGAAGCAACCTGTGGGCGGGGTTTTTCATGCATAAACATCTTGGGAAGAAACTGCAAATGAGTCTTTCCGAATCATGGTATGCAAGAAAACAGATTGCCAGATCAATCTTCTGCCAAGACAGGCGACCACAATCGCTATCATATCCCCGGGTTGGTGAAACCCCTGTTTTTGGTCGCTTGCTCAATTTTCAGACAACCACTGTCCATGAATTTCCCACAATCTTTTTCAGCTGTAAAATCCTTAACAATCAATACTTCCAGCTGTGTAGATATCAGCCAAGTCACTAATTTGATTCGCCGCAAACAAAACCATGACCTCACGTGGCACGTTCCACATTGGTTCCACGGTAGCGGGGTATGAGTCCGGATTTCAGCGACGCTTTCCCTCGAAATTGGAGAATTTCTTCATGTTGGGTCCGTCTGAAAATAGGCTACCCCCAAATCCATCGGCTTATCATAGTTTATCATAACTATATCCCAATTTAATTTTTTTTGGGGATATACCCCATTTCCAGACAACCCCATGACACATTCCCTAAAGGGACTCAGGTGGCACAGCATTCATCGATGGAAACTCTCTACAAAAAAGAGCGAAATGAATGAATATCTTAAGTGGATAATGTATTGTAGCATACAATATACATGCATGCATGCGTGCATGCATGCATGGATAGTGACAATATATATATATATATAGTTGCGTAATATATTATACACCTCGATATGCGATAGAATATCTGGGCATAGCTTGAAATCGCGTACTGGTCCAAAAAATCGATATTTTCGGTGACCAGCTGTTTCTGAATCGGCTCCAAGAGGCTTAGTAGGTCTACGGCCATTGGGCGTGCATCCGCATCTCTCTGTAAACCTTGGTTTCTCACAGTGGGTGTCTCCATGGTTTGATAGTCGGGGAAAATCAAAACATGTCAACTTACCATGAAAGAATGGGACACCATATAACACCCC